TTCTACTGATGTTTGCTAAGGAGTAAATTCAGATCTTATCCAGAAGCAGGGCAAGATAAATTAATTCTCACTTTGCTTTCCCACAGATGTCTTTTAAACTATAGTTTTAGCACTCTTCAGTTATAATTTTGGAATTTAAAACAGGATGGAAATGGTATCAAAGACAGCACTGAAGGGGCAGGCTATAAACATACCGATTAATCAATCATTGTGGAAGATTCAATAATTCATTATAGCAAAACAGTCTCTAGAACCACACATTTTCTTATTTTCTTCCCTAATAAGAAGAAACCTCAGTAAGGACCTCAGTTGGTCCTTACTGAGTAATTTTTAAGAGTTATACAGCTACACAGAACTTTAGCTGAAAAAGTATCTGACATAATGGCTTCTGCAGCTGGCAAATTCATGCAGACAAGCTTGGATCTATATCACGAACTCCAAACCTGCAAGTGGTACATAAGTTTCACTCCGCCTACCAATGTGCCCTTTTCACACTCCCAAATAAAGTCTAGTATGTGGATTTTAATTTAGATAAGATAGATATAGAAATAGTCTGATGTCTTTGCCAAATTATACTTATGATGAATTATATAAAACCAATGCATTAGAAATTGTGTAACTTTTATGATGAAATAGAGTGAGAAAATAAATCAGATATATCAAGTATTGCATAAATTTTAGTTATTCGAGACAAGGACCTTTATAAGAACAAAGTCTCTTTATTAAAAGTGCTGTTAGGCCATGTAGTCATTGTACCTGGCAAATGTCCCTTCATGAATAAAAGTCTTCAATTAATATACAATAGGTTACATTAAAAAAAAATCTTAAATTCCACATTCCCATAAGGTCTTTGCATTCTTATAAAGTTTTTATTTGCTGATTGCCTGCCAAAAAGCCACTCACTTTTGAAAACAAACATATTCCAATGGCTCTGCCAATGAAAGGTCAAACCTCTCATGACAAGGTCAGGAGAACAATTCTAGTTCATTTCTGTCAGTAAAAGATAAACAGGGGGATTCCCTTTTGGCAAAGAGAAGTGAAAATGCACAAAAGCACAGCAACACACAAAATTCCTACCTCAAAAAGGAGAAAGAAACAATTCAAATTATTGATGATAGTCCCAATTATTCTTCCACTTTTATCGGTTCAAATTCTACAATATCTACATACTTTGTAGTATTTATCTTCTCACTGATATACACTGAGGATAGCTTAAAAAGTTTGGGGCTCATATGAACTTTTTAAAAAATCTGTCACAGAGTCATGGTAGAATCAGCTTGGTACAAAACAATCCTTGAAACGTTTCATTATTTATATGCTAACAAGTAACTGCTTGTAAAAAAAAAAAAGACTAGAGTTTTTTTAGCTATTCTGTCAACCATTTGCCGTTTAAATTTTCCTTTTAAGAAAATGAGGGCTTTTGAAGTAGTGCTGGGAACTACCAGGTTTGGAAAAAAAAATATTGCTGGCATATACTGACTATAGTATATGAATAAATGACTGACCAATATTAGGCAATTATAAAAGGTTACACATGATGGGATAAGTTGTCAACAAGTAACTGGTGAGAAAATATGAAGCTTGAACATTTCAATTCTAAAAATCCTTCTTTTCTCTCTCTTTTTTTTGGGGTGGAATTTTTCCTGAATTTATCTGTAAAAAACAGCCTTAATTTCAAGGTACTCTAGCAAACTTTTTTATCTTTTGGTATTTAGATATGTATTTTTGGTGCATTATCCTTCAAAAATTAAATATGTATTTTTTGTAGGCCGTATCCACCCAGGTGTGTAGATATGGTGATTAGCACAGTTGGATTGCATGGATATAGGAAATGCTAAGCCCTATCCAATATGGGTATGCAAATGATCCATTCCCCATCTTTCCAAATGTTCTGGAAAGCAATTCAGCTTCCAAAGTGGACTATTACAATACAGGATGTCCTATTTCAGGATTAGAATGTTCTATGTTAGAACATTTTGCATGCCTTAAATATCCAGTAGTAGTATTGACAAGAGAAACAAAACAAAACACAGGTTAACATTCAGGATATTCAAGTATAGAACTCATTTTGTAGTTTTTAGTAATTTCATTGTTTAGGTGCAGAAAATGAGACGTGTATCTGAATGTAAGTACTACGGTACCTATTGCTAACATTTCATTTTTGATATTCAAGATGCCAATCTACAATCTTGTGCAATCTAAGGAAACATAAGGTATCTATTTATAGTACAATTGCAAATGGAGAAGAGCGAGCACTGTTTGTTGAATGAATTTAGATGACTGTTTTTCAAGAATATAATGGGTTCCTGATAATTTAGCACATTAATATATATTGAAATACATAAGGAAGTATATCACTGAGCAAATGAGGCAAAACAGGCTCTCAGCATAAAATGGAAATACTGATAGAATCCTGTAAAAAAAATGAGAAACATGAACAAGGTTCCCTTTTAGCTATTCATAGCTTTGTAGTAATAAAAAACCAGTATAATTCTTAAAAAAAATAATGTAAATAAAAATGTAGTTCTTAAAAAAGTTTCTTCAACATATTACTTTAAAAATGGTAGGTAGCTTAACGGTTATTAAGTAGTTACAGAATTCTATGATGGTAAGGTTCATTAAATTCAATACTTAATGACACATTAAAAAAATTGAATAGTGCCCACTACTTAATAATTGCTCATTTAAAGATGGACAAATCCAATAGCATTGACAAAACTGAAATCAAACTAAATTATAGCAAATTTAAACAAATGCCTTTGGGAACAAATAGGGATGACACAAGTTAGTTCTGAAAGAAAACCCTGAAACTATGTTTACATTGCACTTTCTCATCAGACAAACATCGTGGAAAATATTATAGTGATGTGGAATAGTAGGAGTAGAAATTTGAAGATTGTAAAAGACTAATGAAAACTATCACAAGTTTAAAAGAAAGATTGCTGTAATATTGGTAATGGTTCACACTGGCATATAATGACTGGAAATCCTCAAGACAGATTTGGCAATGAAAGAAAAAATAAACTCCAGTACGTTCAGCTATCCATTACCAGCTATCCATTAACAGGTAAGGACTAGCTCAATATTTAGAATTAATAATAATATTTAGGTCTTTAAAACACAAAATAAGGGGATATTCTTCACAACAAATATGTGTGCGCCTAACAGTTTAGTTATCATACAAAGGAACTGAAGTTCAACATTAGTCCTTCACTGACATCTTACTATAAGTGCTCCTATAACACTTCTGAAGGAATATTTGAAGTCATACACATATAAGTAGTGTACATAAAAGTTTATTCAGGTATCAAAAATCCTTATTAATTACTTGTGATTCATGATGAGGTAAATATATTATCCCAAACACATATTTTTTTATTACAAGAATTTCTTTTACTCACAAAACCTTTTCTGGAAAGTCACTTGAGAAAATAAGAAGATGTAGTTCCTCAATCAGATTGTATTATTTGGCAATTGGTTCTTTCCTTTCCTTACTGGAAAAAGCAATAATCCTACCGTATGAAATCATTACTAAGGCATTCCAAGCATACTGTGTTGGACGAAAGGATTAATTCTGAAGAGGACAAATAGCTATATTTAACAGGAATTTAAGAAACTGCAAACATAACCAAGGAACAATAGTGTATTCTTCCTGCTCTGAACTGTTAATTAATAAGGTACTTGTAACTCTCGTGTAACCTTCATCTGCATAACCAAGTACCGTATCTTCCCTTCCCTTTGACCATATCCTTATGAAACATCAGTCTAGCCAATCTAGGCATCTAATGAAGGGAGGTGCAGTTCATGAAAGCATTTTAATAAACACATTTAATAAAACGTGTTAACTGTAGTTGAAAAGGTGCTGCCAAATTGCTTCCGATTTCTCTGCCACCAATTAGGAGTAATAGAGCAACTTCACCATTTCCTCTAAACTCTGCCTGCTTTCTTTAAAATCTCCCTTCTCTTTTCTTTTTGCCTGACAATGAATTAGCTTTTTTTTATGCTGTATATTTTGCTTGTGAGGATGAGTAAGATTAATCATTTGTGGATTCTCCTAATCTCTGGAAGCATTTATGTTTTTTTCCCTGTCTTAAGACAAAGAAAAAGGGGAAAAGGAAATAAAAAGAGAAAACGCTCTATGAATAGATGGCACATCTATAGGTGGAATGGATTTGTTATCTGTCAAGCAAATTTGCTTCTACAACGTTGATTGGGTTTTAATGCAGAGATGCCGAATTCCCATGCTGCTTGCATGGAACCAACCCCTCTCCAACCCGCCGACCCGCCAAGCTGGAAAGGTTGGAGACCACTGTTTTAATGTGTTCTGTGTTCTTAACCATCAGTCACACAGTTTCAAAAAAAGATCCAGAGAAACTGCAAACACTATTGTTTTTACCAGAGAGAGGACTATTAAACACATTACTGTACTGAATAAACAATTTCTGAGATGACCCAATATGTTCAATAACATCATCCTCATCCTTACCACTACCACCATCATCCATTTTGCATGGAAAACGAAAACATTACAGTTGACCAAAAGGAACTGCCAAAGCTATGCATGGAAGAAGGAAATAATTTATAACACTCAGGCATAGACCAAGGTGAAGAGAAAATAAATTCCTTTCACCATCCACAATAACTAGAAATACATTTTCTGGATACATGGGAGTTGCCTTACACTGATTAAGACCATTTGTATATATAGCTTAAAGTTTCACAGTCATCTTCATTTTTAAAAAATAGTTTTACACAAGCATTTTTCCAAACCCAACCCAGAATCTCAGGTGGTTTATGTAAAGTATGTATTCTAAATAATCTGTAGGCCTTCTTTGAAATGTTACAATTTTGAAGAAAGAAAAATCCAAGTTTGTACAGTGCTGAATCTCTCTTTTTCTACAAAATCCAATCTCTAATCAATTCATAGTTAACCAACTGATTATTTTCAAGCTCAGTAGATACACTGTTTCCTTTGATAACAATAAGATTAAAATTCTTACCTGACAGAATTATTTGGCCTATTTTCTACTTTCATCAAAATTTGTATGTCTGACTGGGGAGATATTGTGTAGATTTTTAATCTGCAATAAAAAATGTAACATTTAAGAAATATTATCACATAACAAAAAATAATTTTTTTAAAAAATTATTGATTCAGCAAGAGAATCCAACTGAAAAAATAATAATATATTGTACTAATTTACTGAAATAATAGAAATAATAGAAGGACTTCCTGTCTGGTTTCCGGTGCCGCCAGACGGTCCTCTGCGACCGCCGCCCCGTTGCCTGTAAAAGAGCCGCCTTTACATCTGAAAGGCGGCTCGAAAAACTCCATTTCCTGATGGAAATGTGAGTCTGAGCGGGTGGGGGTGGGTAGAGCCCTCTGCGAAGTCCCCAGAGTCTTTTTAAACTCTTGGGGACGAGCAGGTTGGCGCTCCCCCTTTTTCCCTCGCCACCGCTCCAGGCATCGGGTGCACTATGCACTTTTGCATAGCCAGGCACTGGAACCGGACTAATTAATGAATTTAACAGATGGATCTACTAAAAAAAAATATGAGATTTGGATTTGGATTTGGGACCCTAAACCGCAAGTATTCTTAATGAATTTACAAGCATTTTAAAGTGAAGAGAAGGAAAAAAAAAAAAAAAGTTTTAAAATGGCCGCGGAGGCTTGGGAAGTAGAAGAAAGAAGAGTCTTTTTATAACAGATACAAAGCTGCAGAATATACAGCGCTGGCTACAATTTGAAACAATAGTTATTTTAGGTTCTTCTCTTCCTGGTGATTACTTGATCTTGTTTGGGGGGTAAAAGAGAAAAGTCTGCTGGAAGGATGGCGTTAATAAAAGCTGACAGACAAGAAAGGGGGGGGTGCTCCCCCACTCTCTGAGCCTACAGACTCTGCAGAATGGTTGTAATTTAAAAGAATTTATTCAGGAGGAAATGGCAAAATATTATGAAACTGTGAATCAGAAATTTGAAAATTTAAGGCAGGAAATTAAAGAAATGATACAACTAAAGTATGATAATTTGCAACAAAAGATTGTAACAGTGACTAATGGTTTTTCAGAAATTGCGATAAAGTTGGATACAAATATTAAATTGCTAGAGTCTAAAATGGAGAAAATTGATAACTTGGACAATAAAATATTAAGAATTGAAAAGGACTTAGCAAATATTCGAGATAATAGCTCAGAAGTAAAGTCTAAAGAAGAAGCTGGTCACGAGACTTATAATCTAGAAGATATAAAGCAAGGAATTGAAAGAGAGGCTGTAATGTTGCAATACAGGATCACAGAATTTGCGATCAGAATTAGAGGCTTACAGGAAAATAATAGCGATGACTTAAGAAAAACATCTGCTCAAGTTTTGGCTGGGATCTTAAAGGTTCATCACGGGGACGTAATCAGTAAAATTGATAAGGCTTACAGAGTGGATTCCTGGATTGCCAAGCAAAGGCAATTGCCTAGAGATGTGGTAATTTACTTTACAGAAAAAGAGATAAGAAATGATATTCTGCAAAAATCCTTTAACTCTACTTTACAACTGAATGGGAGAAAAATTTGGATATATAAGGAATTGCCGCCTAAGATCTTAAGAGATAGAAAGAAATTTGGGCCCTTGGTGACTGAGTTAAGAAGACAGAATATCTTATACAGGTGGGATGTCCCAGTGGGTATAATATTGAGATATCAAGGAGTAAGATATCAGTTAAATACTCTTGAAAAAGCGGAAGAATTCTATTATAAGGTACTTAAAAAGCAAAATCAACAAGAGATAGAAACCCAAGAAAAGCAGAAGGAGATGGAAATAACGAAGAAACAACAAATTAAAGAGGTCTCTATAGATGAGCCGCTTTTGGATCCTCTTTCAGAGGCCTCAGCTGGATTATCTAATATAAGAGAGGCGGTTCCGGACCCTAATGCAATGATTTGTCAAGCCACAAACGAGCATGTAAGTCAATCAGCTGATATACAATTTACAGAACCAGAAAGATCTCAGCCACAGATGCAAACCCAACAGGATCAAGCTACTCTTCAGCAAAACCAAATAGTTGATACACAATCTACAGAAAGGAGTTTAGGATGGAGATCCAACCCACAAGAAGTTAAGAAAAGAAGAAGTAGGTCTCACAAACATAAAATTTTTTTAAATTAAACAACAGTGTAATGCCAGTTACTTATGAGAGGACTGAATATATAAAAAGATAATGGGCAAAATATTGGCTTATTTTATTCTGAGGAGAGTGGCAGATCTCTGCAGTGCTGAATTATTGGGTGTGAAAAAGGCCTTAAACCAAATGGTTGGAAATATCTTGTTTGTTTTTTGGAGTTCCGGATAAATACGTGTATGCTGAGCTATATGGCAAGAGACTTATTGGATTGGGGCACGCAGATCATCTGGTTGTTACCCTATTATGATGGTTGGAACCAATTATGTGGATCAAAGACACCTCCATAAACATTATATGGAATATAATTATAAAGTCACTCGGGTGGTTGTCGGGGTTTTTTCTTTTCCAATATGAAGATATTTGTTGCTGATGGGGGCAGATGGTAACTGAAGATATCGAAAATACTGTTGGAATAAGGATGCGATGTTACCCTAACATGGGTGGAGTTCATCATCCAGTTGAAAGATATTCCAGAAGATGCTATATGGATCATAAGTTTAAAGTTTTTTTTTTTTTTTTTTTTTTTTAGGATCTTATTTACATAAGGGAATATTTTTCTAGGGGATTGGGTAGAAGAATAAAGATATTAAGAACAATTATGGTAATTCTGTAGGAAAGTGGGTGGAGAAAGGTTAGGTTATGGATTGTTTATTTTAAAGAAATGTTTAGATGTGAATATTTGTAATGAAGGGGGGAAACGAAATGGCTACTGGAACTGAATAAGTGTTAAATTAGGACTTTTTGAATACTTAGAATAGAAGTATGTTTTGAAATGTTATATTGTCTGAGGGGTAGTAAAAGGGTAGACTACGAGTAGAAATTGTTAAATTGGGAGATATAATAATATTATTACTTTAAATCAGGAGTTATTAGATAATGTTATAATAGAATGTCACTTTGAAATGCTTATTATAGCATAGTATACGGGGGGTATGATAATCTTATTAAAATGAAAGGGTCAGTATATGGAGATTGAGTATGTGGATAGTAAAGTATGATATAATCTGTTATGAACTTGGGTTTTACTATGAGGAAGTCAAGGGGAGGGGGGGTGGGGGGGGAGGAGGGGGGGGAAAGGGGGAAAAATCTGTATTTGAAAAACTTTTTCAATAAAAAAAAAAGAAAGAAATAATAGAACATACAACTTGTAAAAGAAAGTACCTTTGCTGCTTGACAGGATCAGATTCTTGAGGATCAATATATGTCTTCAAAATATCACACAATGGTTTATCATCTGGTACCCTTTGTCCAGAAATACAAATTATCAGTGAAGATATTAATAGGAATCTACAAACCAGTTAGCGTCACATTAATATATACTGTATGCAGTTTTATTAATTACTCTTTTTCAGCTACATAAGGTTCATTCGGAGATATATACAAAACATTTAGGAATTCATATCCAAGATACCAAAAAGATTGTCTGCTAAATTCCAATTATTTATTCCAAACTGAAATAATTCTTTCATATCTTTAAATAAGTTTTAATGTAGATCCATCTTCCTGTTGTATATTCTGTTCTAGATAGGAAACTGAAATAAATGCTTGAGGGATGATATTTACTTGGTTACATACCAAAATTGTAATACAGGATACAGCCATGTAAGAAATATGTACAATAAGCCATATTTTCTCGATTTAAAGCTTCCTAGATTACACAGATAAAGCTAGAAATATTAAGATGATATGTACGGTAATTTTAAAACAGCTCAAATGAAATATCCCAATAGTTTTGTTTATTCAGAAACCTGTGTATTCTTTCAAAACAAAACCCAAATGTAATTGTAAACTGTAATCCAGTAATTATTTAAATTAAATAATGTAATTACATAATTATTTAAACTTCATGTGAAATTAAGTTTGCTGGCAAGTGTGTATGAATACCTTTGTTCTGTGAATTTAGCATGACTCTGAGGAAATATAAGCTTCAAGTGCCAATAGAACTTTTGCTCCCTGAAAAAATAGAAAACAGATTCTTAAAATTCTTTTTATTACAAATGCAAGGGCTACTGCTCTGTATAGAGAAAATTCAAAACAAGAAGTAGGAGAAACCTGTTCAGGGCTTGTTCACTTGGGAAGGTATTGAAAGTCTTAAATTGTTCCCACTTCAGATTTATTTACACAACCAAAATATAACCCACAGGCAGGAAAATCAAATACTACACCATAGCTCCAAGTGCAAAGTTTCTTCTACATTTTAGTATGGCTTAAATTTTAACTTTCATTGTATTTAAGAATTGATGTTTCTATTCCTATTCCACGTGTATGTATAAACGTAAGTATCACAAGTATGATATTAATAAATAAATAATAACAGTGCTACGGGGATACAATTATTTTGACCTCTGGTTAATAAAACAACAATCTATCAACAGATCACAAACAGAAGCAGTGTAGATCAGTCTGTTCCCATGTATGATATATTACGTTCAAGTTGTTGGATGTATCAGTATGGGAATATTCACAGATTTTGCAATCTTTACTTAGAAATAAAGATGCATGTTTTGTTGGGATGAAAGAAAATAATTTTACTTTATAAGTTGGCCAAGCAGACTGGAAATATTCTGAAAAAGAATGATCTTTGGAAGCAAGCAACTAGCATTTTTAGAAAGGAGGGAAATTGACTCATGACTAGAATAAGAAGTTGGTACATATCAATAGAAGGGGAACAAAGGGAAGAAAGCACTGCAAAGGGGTTCTGAAGACTCTGTTTCTTCTCTACAAATACCATGTCAAAGAAGTAATGAGACTTGGAGAGGACAGGTTGTATGTATGCTGAAGCTGTTCTCCAAAAGTGTGAACCTCTTTATTAGGATAGGCCTAACAATGTACAACTAAACGCTGGAATTATGATATCTGTCATGTAGGACAATAACAAGGTGCTTTTCCAGAGTTACGTTTCTGGGAGCTAATTTATGCAAATGATCAATTATGCTTACTGACATAATCTCATCAATTTTATGATACTCAGATGAGCAAGATTTTAACATCCACGAACATCTAGGCAGAATGCAAATACAGGTTTATGGCGTCCAGGTGTAATAGTACTGGATGCTGTTTGGTTTGGCACATAGTTATTTAAAACAGCAGTAAAGAGTCAGATTATGTATTTATTTACATAAATTTAAAAACACCTCCGGCTCTATGGTACAGAGTACCTCCAGGGTTGCCTGTTCGCCCCTTAACTGTTTCAGGAAATTTTGCTTACCCAATCTCTTTCTATTGTATTAATTAGCAATAACATAGGATTATGAAATTATCTTTTCAATTTCCGTTCCACTGACCAAATGTAGAAGCCTTTTGCAAATCTTAATTTATCAGTGCTGTGCTATTTCTCCTTATTCCAAAAAGGCAGAGTTTATACTTCACCTTCGTTGGTATGTAAGGGAAACAAAATTTGTGCTGGGACCCAGCGTTTTAAAGGATTTTATCATTTCTATATTGTATCCATTTTCAAATCCATCATCCTGCAATTCTTCTTTGTTGGTTGCTTCTTACATTTAGATGTTTTTACTTGATGCTTTCATTCGATTAATGCACAGGAAAACTGTCTCCAGAAATTCTTAGCAATATGCAATTTTGCCAGCAATATTAGAGCCACAATAACTGAATTTCAGCAATAAGGATGGGAATAAAAGCATTAAAGCCCTTCTCCAAATATAGAGACAACATAGAAAAAAAAAACATAGAAACCTACTTTATAGAAACATATTTTTTTACTTTCAAGAGATTTATAAACTAGACATTAAATCAGGGCTTCCAGTCGTGAGTCGGGGACTAATAATGTGTGAAAGGCTTTACACAGCCTACATCTGATAATATAAATTCCAGCTTAAACTGTAGAATTTTTCAAAAGTGGATGTTGATATCCTGTAGCTCTTTCTTTCTAGGGCTCTGTGGGTATTAGTGAAGCATGTGTGAATCAACACACAGAAAGACAAGGGGGGGCGGGTTTAAACATTCAGGAAACTGCACCAAGCCTTCCAGAGGATGCAGTGACTAATACTTGGAGGAGAGAAGTTTTGCTTCGGTTTTACCATTTATGAAGTTTCCTTTGGAATGTGTGTTTCACCCAGTTTGTTGTTTTGCCCAGTGCCACAGTCTCCTTTTTTCTTAGAAGAAATTTGGCATGATGAAAAAGGGAATTAATTAAAGGGAAATTTAATTAGGCCATTACAAGATTATGGAACAAATTTAGCTGTTTTTAAAGTAAAAACAATTACAAAATTCTTTAGGCAAAAGAAAAAGAGATGAAAATATGTGGAAACTTTAACCAGAAATTATCTATGTCAATTTTTGTATTTACATGGACAGCAGCTTAAGAAAGAGTTAAATCAAAGTAATCGTGAATGAGGTTATTCTTTTTAACCACTGATCGGTTGATATAAGCATGAATCATAAATTCACTGGACATAAACCCTTTACCTGCCAAGCATCTTTCTTTCAACCAATTTGATTATGTGTTTTTTAGGAACTCTATGATGTTGCAAAACGTACTATTGTGGTTCATTAAGCCAACAATCAAACCCATAGGAATGGGAAACTTGTTGCTGTATATTTAAGGATTATTCCACAGAAGTCTGTGGACTCTGCCAAGAAGTAGCAGCTCAGGGAGAAATAAGCAATGAGTAAAGTAACTTCCATTTCTAACTCCGATTCATCAAAACTTATTTATTAAACAAACTTATATGGCTGACCAACTCCCACATGATGACTACAAGCAGCGTGTGAACCTGCAAAATGACTTTAGCTGAAGCCATTCTTTTTCATGTTTAGTCCTGCTTTGTTTCTTGATTGCCATTCATTGGGGGCGGGGGAGGGATGGGGGAATTTAGGAATGTGGTGCCTCAGCTGCTAGTCAAAACAAAAAAACAAAAACAAAAAACCTTCCCAAGGTTATGTCAACAGACACCTGTCGAAGCTGAACAGGAAACTCTGGCTGAATTGATTGGCCCATATGACCTAAAAGACACGGGTGGGGGGGAATCCTATTCTTTTAACTATCTCTAAGTGTGGGAACTATTTAGAACTACCTTCACCCTTCTAAATGGCGAGATGATGTACTCAATAAAGGGTTTCTTGAACCTGAACAAAGTGTCAGCGTCCTGACTTCCCGGAGTTCATTACTCGGAATGATGACAGACCGTACAGCAGTAAAAAGCCACAATTACCTCATTTTCCAAAAATATTATCTTTTATGATTTTCTAAGCCTCAGTAACACTGATTCAGCCTCATTAAGTGATTATGAGGCAAGACAAACTGTCAAAAATCTTTTAATTTTTTTTAGCAACACTACATCCCTGGAGTACGAATATGATAGGTGAAATTCCAAGACCATAATCATTATTAGAGGGGCCCCATATCAGTCTTGCATGTGACTGTGTGGTCTGTGCTTTTGGCCACAGAGAGTTTTTCCCAGAGAGAGAGATGGATTATGAGACCGCACAGTCCATAGCTGGATGGAAGAGGCGGGAAAGAGGTTCAGGGTAGCCACATCCTAGAACCTCTTGGAATATATCTAGTAGATTAGAAGGTTGTATCTTGAGTTGAGCAAGGTTCTACTCATTAGGCATAAGCAAAAAGGACTGGATCCAACTCTGAGCTTGGGCCTGACATCAAGCCTGCCAAAAACATGGCATAACCTTCTAATTTATTAGATACATCTTGAAAGGTTCAAGGTTCTACTCTGAACCTCTTCCTCCTCCTCCTCCCCATTTCAGCTCAGAAATGTGCAATCTCTTAATCTGGGCTTCTCTCTGGCAAAGCTCTGGTTTGCCAAAATTGTTTCCTGTCGCTTCTCTATGTGCACATTCCTACCACTGTGAACAGGGGAAATGTAGTATTAAAAAATGTTCATAAAGAGAGACAAATCTCTCTTCAGCACAATTTGTCCCTTAACTGCCATGTTGCTACCAGGATACTGAATTTGCCAATTTCTCTTAGATTGTAACATTCTGATGAGAAATACTAGATTATTCTTTCAACATGTTTTTGGGGATGAGGCGATGGGAACAATGGTTCAAATTGTATATCAAAACAGTTATGATGCCTGATTAGATCTAGTAAGACTACATAACGTTCTGATATAATTAGACATGTCAGATTTTTTTTTAGCAACCAACACTACTATTTTAGGACTTCATCAACATTTTTTCTCTACAGGCAGCATCTGAAATAAATATTTAAAAGATTTTAAATTGGACAGATCATTGTATAAGTAAAACTTTTTATAAGTGATTACCTTATTGCTACAATGATCTGTATTAACTCACTGAATTGGATCAGAACCAGGGTGGATTTTATTTAAATCGAGTTGATTTAAATCACAATTTAAATCATGATTTAAATCACTAGTAAAAAGGCTTGATTTAAATCAACTCGATTTAAATCATAATTTTTAAAGAGCAACTGTCATCTCTGCTACTCCTTTGACCCACTGTTGACTCACCGATAGTCCCAGTGTTGCAGAATATACAGCCTCATGCTACATAACTAAACTCCATTTCATGCTGAATAAACTAAATTATTTATGTATCTTAAATAGAAAAATATCTTACGATAGATTTTTACCCCAAAAGTTTTTTATTAAAATAAATTCGATAAAAATAAAAAAAAAATCCGATTTAAATAAAAAAAATCCAATTTAAATTAAAAAAAAATCTGATTTTTTTGATTTTTTTTAAAAAAAATCATTGATTTTTATCCACCCTGATCAGAACTGAAACCTATGTTGGTGAAAACAGGAGCAAGATCAGCACATTTCTATTACAAAAATTACATTTACATTTGTTGTGGCAAATTTTAAACTGACATTGTCTTGATTATTAAAGTTGAGATTTTTACACGTTTTTGTGATATTCCTACTTAGTTAGATTTCTACTTACAACATAGAAGTATACTGTCCAGTATATTAATTTCTTCTTGCAAATGCCTTATAGTAACATGAAATATTTGCAAGAGAGCCATCTATTGGTTTGTAGAATTATAGCCAATTTAGTCTTTGCAAGAAACAAAGAACCTTGTGCATAGGCTTTTGTGGATCAACATCTATTTCTTCCACTGAAAGAATAGTTATTAAAACAGACTGTGCAATGGTGACAGATTATAACATTTGTATATAAATATGCAGACATGATTTATAGAGAAACAAATGTCTCTGCTGTTACACAAAAGCTCCCCCTATCTAATTCACAATTATACTCCTTGAAAACAATGAAACGTATTAGCATCTTGTTGGCTGAAAAATCATCTTTCTTTTCTATCATTCTCTGGAATAAAGCTAAAAAGCTTTTATCATTCTACTGTTAATATCTCAATATAAGGAGTACAAGGTTAGATGCATACATAGAGAGTACACACCAAGAAAACATAAATATAAATCAGTCAAAGGGCAACTGTATTCAGAATGATGAAAAGCAATCAGAACTCCTGTGGGTCAATGAGGAAAATAATTCAGATGTTATAGCCGGATAACATCTTATTAGGATGAATCAAGAAACCCTTTCAGACTTGTGTTGTGATGCTGTGCACCAAGTAGATAAGCGGCAGAATATATCCAACATTGCAATGAATTTCATCGCTTGCTTGCCTTAAGACACTTACATATAAAAGCCATATTTAGAATGAGGGGTTTTGCTAAGCTAACATCCAAGCTAATAACAGCTAGAAACTTACTTATTGCTGTAAAATGTAGAATTCTCTCGTCTCTTTGTGAAGCCAATTGGTAAAGTTTGTAAGCAGATCTTGCATCTCCGAGCTCGGTTTCTCAGAAAGTTTACCTGACGGAAGATGCAAGTTTTTTTTTTTTTTAAAAAAAATTACTTTCAAATATGAACTACTTTAAAGAATTATTTTGAGAAACTGTGGTTTAGTACTACTAAGCTTCGCACTCAAGACCCAATTTTTTTTTTTTTTTGGAGAATCATAGAATCTTTTGCATTCATTTAGTATCATGTCTAAATCTTGTTTTAATAAACCATGGTGAAGATTAAGCTTATATTTTAGTCCCTAAACCAGAAAAAAACTTCTAATCTCCTCATGGCCCAACTATAAAACATAGCAGTGCAATATTTGTTCTTACAAGCTTATTTTTTTAACAGTAAACTATAATTGAATGTTATGTTGAAAGCAGATGCATTATGTTTCACAGAATAGATTAGACACTCAAATCATTTCTATATGAGGATCTTTGCATTCACGAATATGAGGGCCTTAATCACTAAAGGCTAACAAGATTGGAAACATATTCAGGATATGTATTGCCTATCTGAGTGTATAAGGCAAAGCATAGCAAGTATCCTATACAAATAAAAAACAAACCCCTGAAAACCTATTGCTATATTGCTATAATTGCAGTTATTTCTTGCATTTCTAACTGAGAAACTTCCACTTTGCCAGCTGTCATTCCCTTGTCTTTATTCAGCAGAACTACGTTGAGTTTTTACTTGTGCCTTCAAAGTGTCAGGCACTGCTCCCAAACAGATGCTTCCAAGTGAAACCAAACAGCTTAACCATTTTCCTTTTTACAGTCATTCAACCTAATCATTCTGCAGACGCACTTCCTGCTTCTCCCAAGCAGCAATTATCAAAGAGGAAAAAAGAAGGTGGAAAAACACCTTTCAAACAATAAAATGGTTCTTCCATTGGACAATGCTTCCTACAAAATTCTTGTGTATCACTTGTTTTATGCAGAATATGGATTTATTAATAGCTCTAGAATTTTACCATTGCAACATGGAGAAATGCTCTCCATTTTGAAGTGTCTTCAGTACATTAGCTCCTCCAAGGACATTCTAGTAATTTCTGCTATTTCTCTTTGTTCTTTCCTTTCTATTTCCTTCAAACTTAACAAAGTTAAGAGCAGGGGCTTCCATGCAGAGATATATGCAGTCCTTCAGTTATGACTGGCCACTTAGCGACTGTTCAAAGGACTTAGGACCTGGATTTGAAGTTCCAATGGTCAGCCTTTCTTCATAGTCATGTGCCCAATCTTTGGGTTCTCGGCAATACAGCTGCATTATGGTTGTTTGCAATGTCATGCTGTCATGTGACTGTGTTTTACAAAGGTTTTGCTGAAAACTTACAAATCGATTACTTTTGGGTTTATGAGAAAGAGCATCTCGAGCAGCCCGGTCAGTCATTCTTCCCCCGTCTTCTAGAAACCGATAGTCTGAAGAAGAAAATCAAGAAATAATACATAAGTAGTGTATTTAACATTAAAATGTTCAGTGTGCATAGGATTAAAAGGTTCAGTGTATATAGGTTAAGATTTTCCAATACCATTTAAATAAAGCTATTATTATTATCAAAGTCAAACACAAACCTACCATATAACCCCAGGAAAAGACAAATTTAAGGAGAATGGGCATTGGTCTTACCTTAAATGCCAGATTTCTTGAGGGGGGTGACATTGTCCAGATGAGGGTTATATCAGTCGGATCTGATGCTGGCTGAGTCATAACTTTTGACCACTCCCCTTGCTCCGCCCCTTTCATGCTCAGTTTTGACGAAGGAAGGCCACCAGAAGTATCTCCAACAGGAACCCCCGTTATCAGGAGGAAGTAATTCGGTCCAACGGGACAACTGGAAAAAAACTACTGAACAAGAACAATAAACTGTACAGGCACTGAGACAGAGGGAGGGGCTGGACAATGTCACCCCCCTCAAGAAATCTGGCATTTAAGGTAAGACCAATGCCCAATTTCCTTGATGAGGGTGTGACATTGTCCAGATGAGGGACATACCAAAGATTTGGCTGTCTCAAGGGCGGGATGTCGAAGGGCCTGGAGAGACCCTCGCACGATGCACCTGCTGCAAAACCCTCCTGCCAAATGACGCTTCAGCAGAAGCAAAGGTATCTATCTTGTAATGACGAATAAATGGCGAGGGGGTAGACCAGGTGGCTGCCCTACATACCTCCTCAAGGGAGGCCTGAGTTGCCCAAGCTGCTGAGGTAGCAGCACTCCTAGTGGAGTGGGCAGTAATGCTATTGGGAACAGGAATCGCCTGGGCCTGATATGCCGAGGCGATGCAAGCCCTGATCCATCTACCAATTGTGGCAGAAGAGACTTTGAGCCCTAGGGAGCCTGGCAAAAAGGAAACAAACAGAGCCTCTGACTTCCTGAAGGGAGCAGTCCTTTGATATAAATCTTTAGGGCCCTCCGTACATCTAAGGTATGCCACCTTCGTTCCAAGGCATGAGAGGGCCGGGAACAGAAATTGGGCAAAATAACCTCTTGGGCCCTGTGAAAGGGGGAATTAACCTTGGGAATAAAGGAAGGGTCCAATCTCAAAATAACTGTGTCCGGCCGGAAAACACAGAGATCCTCCCTAACTGAGAGGGCTGCCAGCTCCGAAATGCGACGGGCTGAAGTTATGGCTATAAGGAAAACCACCTTAAGGGTGAGAAAGCGAAGGTGAACCGCGCGGAGGGGTTCAAAGGGATTCTCAGTTAAAGCGTTAAGGACCTTGGGCAAATCCCAAGTAGGGTATCTATGAATCGAGGAGGGCCGCAAGAGCCTGGCTCCTCGCAGGAACTTTTTTATCACAGGGTGCTGAGTGAGTGGTCGGCCGGATGGACTGGACAAGGCCGTAGACAGAGCCGCCACATGTCTCCGAAGGGTACTATGGGCCAGACCACGGTCAAACCCATCTCTGAGGAACTCCAAGATCTGGGCAGGTGAGGCTGAAACAGGATCTATCTGCCGGGAACGGCACCACCTATAAAAGGCGAGCCAGGAGATATTGTAGAGTCTGACTGTGGATTTACGTCTGCAGGCTTGAACAATGTGAATCACCCTATCTGAATAATTGTCCTGCCTTAGACGGGCCCCTTCAAGCGCCATGCAGTCAGTTGGAGCCACTGAGGGTCCGGATGAAGAAGGTTCCCCTGACGCAGTACAATCTCGTCTGGTGGAATCCTCCAAGGGTGAAATGTGGAGAGACTGACCAGGTCTGCGAACCACGGACGGCGTGGCCAGTGGGGAGCCACGAGGATAATTTCTGCTCTGTCGGCGATGACCTTCCGAATCAGGGCCGGAATCAGAGGCAGCGGTGGAAAGGCATAGTGAAGACCCGGCGGCCAGGTGAGACGGAGAGCGTTGACCCCTTCCGCCCCTGGCGTCGGGAACCTCGAGAAGAAGCGAGGAAGCTGATTGTTCAAGTGTGTGGCGAAGAGATCTATGGCTGGGATGCCGAACCTGTTGCAAATCTGATGAAATATGTCGGGATGAATCTGCCACTCGCTGTTGTCCACCTCTGTCCTGCTCAGGAAATCCGCCTGTGTGTTTTCCGACCCCGCAATGTGGTCCGCTCTGATGGAGAGGAGGTGTTGTTCTGCCCACTTGCCCAGGCGAAATGATTCCTCCATGAGGCGCTTTGAGTGGGTGCCCCCTTGACGGTTGACATGTGCCTTCGCCGCCATATTGTCTGTCAACACCAGAACATGACGGTGTTGCACGAACCGGTGAAAGTGCGTGAGAGCGAGACGAATGGCCTTCAGCTCCAGCCAGTTGATAGGGTTGGCGAGGTCTGATGCAGACCAACGGCCCTGAGCCACGTGTGATGCAAGATGAGCCCCCCATCCGTGAAGGCTGGCGTCTGTAGTGAGTACAAGTCGGTCGTGATTCATGAAGAGACACCCCTTGTCGAGAGAAGGCGATGTCCACCAACCTAGCGATCGCCTGACTGAAAGTGGAACTTTGACTGTTAACATGGTGTGAGCTTGGCGTTTCTTTTGAAAAGGAAGCAGGAACCACTGCAAGTGGCGAGCGTGAAGGTGTGCCCATGGGACGATCTGGACGCAGGAGACCATCTTGCCTAAGAGCTTGGATAGAGTGGCCAATGGAACTGATGGAGTTCTGCGAATGAGAGCTACTAGGTCCCTGATGTCTGACCGTCGTTCCAAGGTTAGGTAGACGGTCCCCTGGGCTGCGTCTATGATGGCGCCAAGATGGGTGATCCTGGTGACTGGCACTAACTGACTTTTTTTTTGTAGTTGACCAAGAACCCATGGTTGTTCAGGGTTTGAATCGTGAGGTGTAGGTCGTGTAAGGCTTGCTCTTGAGAGTGAGCCTGAATCAGAATATCGTCCAGGTAAGCCTGGATCCTTACCGGTTGTTGTCTCAGGTGAGCCGCCACCACCGCCAGGACCTTTGTGAAGACCCTTGGTGCAGATGCCAGTCCGAAGGGAAGAGCCCGGTATTGAAAATGCTTTCCTGCATAGCTGAATCGGAGATACTGTCGATGCTTTGGCAGGATGGGAATGTGAAGATAAGCCCCCATGAGGTCTATGGAAACTAGAAATCGTTGGGACGAATCCCTTGAAGAATAGAGGTTAGTGAACACATTTTGAATCTGCGATACACTATGTATGAGTTGAGATTTTTTAAGACCAGAATGGCTCTCCACCCCCCTGACCGCTTTGGAACTACGAACAGGATGGAATAATACCCGTTTCCATTGATCGTGGGGGACCTCCTCTATGGCGTGAATCTGTAGTAGGTGCTGAACTGCTTGGTTCATTAATTGAGGTCTGGATTCGCTTTTGGAAGTTGGACATTGAAGAAAGCGGGTTGGAGGCCTGGAGAGAAATTCCAGGGGGAGGCCGAATTTTACAACTGAAAGAACCCAAAGGTCTGAAGATGACCTTTCCCACCTGTCCGCGAAGAGGGACAGGCGACCCCCTACTGGAGGATTTGGTAGTGAGTCACTTACGACTGCGGGACTGGCGGAAACCAGAACCCCGAAAGGACCGTTTGGGCTGGAATTGTCTGCTCCTGTCCCGAAAATATTGACGGTCCGAGGATCGATAGGATCCCTGAAGATATTCCTGCCTGGAGGGGCCTCCCTGGGGGTAGGAACGAAAGGAAGGCCTTCTGTAATATGGAGAGGGTCTTCCTTCAGCCCGTTTGTATGTTGAGGGCAAAATTTTTCGCTTGTCCCGTGTCTCTACAAGAAGAGGGTCAAGTGATTCCCCAAATAGTCTGTTTGCAGAATATGGAGCTGCAGCCAAGCGCCATTTGGCCTTAAGGTCAGCAGGCCATTGGCGAAGCCAAAGCATCCTGCGGGCTGAAACTGTAGAGGCTAAGGCTCTGGATGCGAATTTGGCTGAATTCAAGGTTGCATCAGCCGAAAATTGAGTGGCAGCAATGATTTTATTAATATCCTGATGAAGGCGAACCTCACTGGGGGGTACCCTTGCCTGTAACTGTTGAAGCCAAAGGATGGTAGTTCTATTAAAAAATGAGGCTGATGAAGCTGATTGAATTGCCCATGCCGAGGCCTGATGGTTCTTTTTAAACAGAAATTCTAACTTTTTGTCTTCTGGCCTTAGACCTTCAGAAGTATCCCCAGTTACGTATGAAGAAGAAGAGGAAAGGGCCGCTACAGGACTGTCTACAGGTGGAACTTGCAAGAGTTGAGCAAACTTTGGAGCAACAGCATAATATTTCTTATCTGAACCATGTGCAGATGCCATGGTTGCAGGCCCAGCCCACTGTTTCTTTACCACGTCTATGAACAGTTGTGGAGTTGGTACATAACAAAGTTCAGGGGGGGGCTCAGAAAAAGGTCCCTGTAGTCCACCCTTTTGAGCCTCCTGCATCTCTTGAAAGTATTCATCTTCCTTTAAGGCGGCTGTTAAGCGAGCCTTATGCAATAAAGACTTGAATTTATTGGGGGGAAATAATCCTGTAAAGGCAGGTTGATCTTGGATTAACCCCTCATCATCTGATAGGTCAGAATGTCTCTCTTCCTCAAACACAAAGGCTTCACTAACTCTGGAGGCTGCAGGAGAATGAGAGCCAGTAAGACTGACTGCAGGAGAAATTCTAATACGGGCAGATCGCTCTGAAATAGCAGAGCCAGAGTGGTGACCATGAATATTGGCTGCCATTCTAGAAGCAATGGCCTGTTCAATCAGAATTCTCAATCCTTCTGGCACATTTTTTAAAGGATCTTCGGGGGTTAGCACAGGCATAGAGGATTCACCTGTTGAAGCAGCTGCAGCTGCAGGCCCACCAAATACAGGAGTTGCAGGGGTCATTAATTGACTTGCAAAGGGGTTTTGCAAATTGCTTTGGTCTTGTTGAAGAACATTACCCTCTCCCTCCGAAGACCAGGCCTGGCTAACAGTTGAAATGGGAGGAGGGGGGGTAGATGGGGGGGGGGTCCCCTTATCAGGCTCAGTTGCAGGCACTTCACTAGCTTGCTTTTCTAGAGATTTATGCCTCTTTGCTAAATCCTTCTCCTCAGGCTTAGAAAGGTGCTTACGTTTGGAAGTTGATTTCTTCCCAGTGTACATAGTATTTTCCTCCCCATGGGAAGAGCGATCTGCCATCTTTAGTATACTCACTGCGACCACGATGTCGACTGGAGAAATAGCTTTTGGTTTCAGTTTCACCACGTGGTTGAAATTTGAGATGGCAACGACTCTGGCGTTAAGCACGATGGCTGCCAGGTCATACTTGAGCAGGAGGAAAACTCTGCTCTGGAGGTATCTGTCTAGGCAAGCCTAGAAACGGACCTCCTCAGCGCCCCCCCAGCCACAAAGAGAAAAAAATTAAAATACTGGCTGGAAATGCCACAGGGGAAGGCAAGAAGAAGCTTGCTGCCCCCCCCCAAACTTGCAGACTCGTTGGTGGCAAAGCGGCAAAAATTTCCTTTTAAAATTGCCGCGGGGCTTCAATTAACCGCTCTACAGCTGATCAGCGGTTTTGGGATCGCTGTAGGGTGGGCGGCGGCCCGATTTGGCAATTTCCCTTAAAATTAGGTAATTGCTATTATTGTTGGTGGTATTGTGGTCTAGGGCCCCTTAAACAATCGTTGGTGGGATAGATCAAAAAAATCCCCCCCAAAAAAGACAGGAAAAAGAAAAAGGAAAAAAGTTCCCTTTTAAAATGGGGCTTTCAAAATGGCCACCGCCAGGAGCGAAGCAAAGCCTGCAGCTTAGGAGGCTCTAGCAAAGCAAAACCGGCAGGCTACAATAGAAGGGGGGGAAAAATTTAAAGGGGAAGTAACAATTTTAAGCTATAGAAATAAAAAGGTGGTCAAAAAGACTTACAATTCTGTGATATTGAACAGACCTGGGCTGTATAGCCAGATCTGTAGGAGATGTTTCTCTCAGGCCGACTGAGTCTAAACTGAGCATGAAAGGGGCGGAGCAAGGGGAGTGGTCAAAAGTTATGACTCAGCCAGCATCAGATCCGACTGATATAACCCTCATCTGGACAATGTCACCCTCATCAAGGAAATGCTGAGATTTCGTGTTTTATTTTGATTTTTTAAATTCTTTATGCTGTTTTGGTGGTATTAGTGTATGCTAGATCTGACTAGTCATTGACTGTAAATAATTTTTACTATTATTATTGCTGAGAAGTATAGTGTACCCATTCCATACCTGTTTTCAAGTATTTTTTCAAGATTTGGAGTATGAATATCCCTGTTTTAAGCTGTTGGTTTGAGCTCCAAGTTTGGCAATTTGGTTGCAAACGTTTCATAAACATTCAAGGAGACATTCTCAGTGCATTTTGAGTTTGAGTCAGCAATACAAATGCATTATGGTTGTTTTCAGTGTCCTGCAGTCATGTGACTGCATTTTACAAAGGTTTTGCTGAAAACTTACAAAGTTTTCTTTTGGGTTTATGAGAAATAGCATCTTTAATTTAATTTAATTTAATTTCCAATTTATATACCGCCCTTCTCCCTGAGGACTCAGGGTGGTGTACAGCCAAGATAAAAAACATAGAATACAAATATTAAAACATTTAAAAATATATATAAATTTTGGCCCGAAAGTTAAGAGCATCAACTCTTGAGCATCAACTCAAAACACAATGATGATGTCTCCTCGAATTGTGATGAAACATTTGCAACCAAGTTGCCAAACTCTGAGCTCAAACCAACAGCCTAACTACCAACCCGAGCTACTAATAGTCAAACACATTTCATCCCTATTTTAAACTGTGATTGAAATATGCTATGCATTTGATGAAATTTTAAGTATCTCTATATGAGCTAGGATTGTTTTTCAGTTAAGAAAAATACTTACGTTGCCTCATTCTCAGTCCAAAACATTCTCAACCTATCTTTGTATTCTATCCAACATACTCTATTGTGTTTGTTTTAGGATACTAGGACAAACTACACTGCTAGTACAGTAAGGAGGAGCTTAGTATTGGCACAGTAGCAAGAGTTTATTAAAAAAACCAATTTTAATTTTATAATTCTTATTTTTTTAAAAAAAAACTACATAGCACTACACTAGTCTAGGACAGGGGTGGGCAATTGTGGCTCTTTTACAACCTGTGGACTTCAACTCCCAGAATTCCTGAGACAGCTTGGCCTAGGTCATTGGTTACCCCTGGTCTAGGTCATTGCTTATCCCAAGCCCTACAGTACCTTGAGTAGTTTTATTGGACTAATACTCTTACCACTTAGAAGAGTTAAATTGCTGAACTCATTCACTGAAACAAAGGCCGCCTTTTCTCTGATTCCATTACAGCTGTATAAAGCTTTATGTTTTTTTACACAAGCCAAACTGAAAGCACAAAAGCAAAGAAACATTGTTATTTTATTTTCAGCATCTAATTTTTTTTAAAAAAAATATGTCTTTGATTTATACCTACCTGCATGAATATTTCATACATCGAGGGCATCTGTATTTTGCTATTTCTGTATTACACAGTTCGCATCTAAAAAAAATGAAATTTGAGATGCTATACTTACAGGTGAACAGCACAGAAAAAAGTCTCTACACAGGGGAATATTGGAAAAGGCAAACTAGTGAAGAAAAATTATCAGAACTTTTCACTTCTGTTTAAGTGCAAATTCTCATTAGCAGCCTTGGCTATCTCCCCAAAACTGATTTATTACAAATTAATAAACCCTCTTAGGATGTCTTTGCTATGACAGCATTCCACTGCATTTCCTGCAAAAGGTGTTAAAATACTGTTGCTGATAATCTGAGCCCCTTGAAGCTTCCAATGAGAATCAACACAACAGGATTCCACATCCTGTTAATGGCCGCTCTCAGAATTCTGTCTTATCGTTTGTCAGCAGCATCCTGGTAAATGCTGCTTTATCATTTCTTGCCAGTAGAAGCAACTAAACAATAGAAATTCTTTCCCATGGTTTGTTTAGCACGAAATAAAATTGAGTAACTTGGACTGGTGCCCCATCAGCTAGAGAAGATGCATCAGAGCTCCAATTGGCACATCATACTAAATCAGAAATACACAACATGAACATCAGCACTTTGTGATCTGCTCTACAATCAGTTCCTGGCTGGGTCTTGTAATTGATAGCACACCTATATTAAATTTAAAAAAATCAAATCCTAATGGTGGGTTTCTGTACCACATGAAATCAAATAGTCATAATATGTGAGCCTGGGCATTGGGATGCCACTATTCTAAAAATCTGTATTTTTAAAAAACACCAAATTCACGTGATTGTGTGTCTTCCTGTTTTACACAGTATCTGATTACTTAAATAATACAACAAATTCTAGATGGCTACAGAAAGGTACAGAAAACTCTAATTTCTTGGGGCCATCTAAGTTTTCCAGTTTTTGCAGCCCAGATAAGGTAGCGTTTCCCCTCGTTAGGTATATATCATGTTCCAGCTGACAGATGATGGTTAATTTTTTGCTTACTAAGTAATTTCACAAGAGTTCCATTCAATTAAACATCCTTTTTGAAAGTCTAAATCAGAGGTCTTCAAACTTGGCAGTTTTGAGACTTGTGGACTTCAACTCCCAGAATTCTCCAGCCAGCATAGCTGTCCACAAGTCTTAAAGCTGCCAAGTTTGGGGACCCCTGGTCTAAATGTATAAGCAGCCAAACAAATCTTTTGGAGCAAAATATCACAAGCCATACCCTTTCTTCTATACATTGCTTTATGTATAAAATCAGAGCATGATGACATTGTTTACATGGAACTAACTCAATTTTTAATTTTAATGGCTGTGAAGTTTTTCCTTTCAGAAAGGCCGAGCGTCAGGTTGCTGACTTAGCATTTTCTTAATTGTGCTTTGAACCTAGGTCAAACTGACCCAGACATAATTCAACAAAGTAAATGCTGAGAAACCATTTTTAGATATAGGGAGAACAGGACATCTTCAGGATTGTCACTATAGAAGTAGTCCTAAAGAAGTCCTGTTCTTCTTCATATCTATAAATGGATTATTAGTTGTACTTGCAATTCTCACTTGTATGTTAAGATAAAAGCCTAAAATAATGATGAGAAATATTTGTGAAAAGCATAAGAGCTTCAATAGAAAAAAGATGCCTTGATGGGAAATAATGCAAAGTAAGCAGAAGAATTTTGTAAAAACAGTATGCTTAATGATTTTGCTTTTTAAATGTGTTACATCTAATATTTATTTTATTTTATTTATGTAACTATATTTATAGAGCGTAATTGTATTGGGATTTTCACCATGAGTAAATGTACTGTGGTCAGAGGGAGCTCAAGGTGTTACATGTTACAAAGATCATAGACTGCCCAGCTCTGAGCTACAAAGTGAAATGTAATTTCAATTTCTGTTCAATGGTTTCCAAAATGGATTGGCTGATTTTTTTTCCCAGAACAGCATTTCTAAAATTTATACTGCAGACATGACAACTGTGATGATGCTTACATGAACATATTCAATAAAAAAACCCATGTATGTACAGTATACTCCAAAATGAATATGATAAAGAAACCATGTTTGCCTGTCATATGCACAAAGCAGCCAACAAGAAGTCTTTGAACTGAGCACACATAATATCCTTCTGTTTGTTCATATCTTTTTAGGAGCATTCATATGGGATATGCAAAAGTTCAAGTCCATCCATGTTAGATGTAAAAATATAGCCCCAAAGTACAATAGTCCAAATAAATACACAAATAATATGAACTTGTGCCATGCTTCCGTGTCAAGCATCCTTCCCGATCAATATAGTCCACATATTTAGACAGCTATGGTCACCTAAATCTTTGTATACCTAATTTGAATATTGGGAAATGTTTTATTTCAAAAAATCTCTTAAATTTTATACATTTATCTATTTGTTTATTTATTCTTTTTCCAAAGCCATAAGACCAAGTGACTCTGGGCTGCTTACAATTCTAAAATTCTAAAATAATGAAAAAACATTTAAACCCTAAAAACACCCATAAATAACTACGAACAGCAGCTGTGATGATTAATCAACTAATAATAAAGCCAAGTACAGGTAGTCCTTGTCTTACGACCACAATTGAATCCAAAATTTCTGTTGCTAAGTGAGATATTTTCTAAGTGAGTTTTGCCCCATTTTATGAGTTTTCTTGCCATAGTTGTTGAGTAAAACATTGTAGTTGTTAAAGTTAGTGACCTGGTAGTTAAGTGAATCTGGCTTCCACATTGACTTTGCTTGTCAGGTCACAAAAGGTGATCACATGATCCCAGGACATTGCAACCATCCTAGATATGAACCACCTGCCAAGCATCTGAATTTTAATCATGTAACCATAGGGATGTTGCAAAGATCAAAACAGTGAAAAATGGTCATAAATCATTTTTTTCAGCACTGTATTAACTTTGAGTGGTCACTAAACAAATTGTTGTAAATCGACGACTACCTTACATAGCCAAGTTTTTAAAGCTTTGTGAAAAGCCAATAGGGTCATTATATTTGAATATTCTAAGTGAATAACCTAAGGGTTTAATCCAACTAACACAATTATTTGGCTCCAATAATAATGTGTCTCTTGAGGAATTCTACACTTAATATGGACATCAAAAATTCTTGCACTGCATAATGTTCAATTGCTCTCAAATATTTCCATGTGGTTTTCCCCCTTCAGCTTCTTATATTTAACTGGCGTTTGCTTTAGATATTGTCCTGTTTATATAAAGTGTATACAGTACAGATAGTCCTCGTCCTACGATCACAATTAAGCCCAACATTTCTGTTGCCGAGCGAGACATTTGTTAAGTGAACGTCCCATAATGGTAATGGTCCCATTTTACGACCTCCCTTGCCACAGCTGTTAAGTGGCAAGTGAGATAAGGAGAATCCATGACCTCAATGCCTTCCGTCGTGCCCTTAAAACCCATCTTTTCCAGCAAGCTAGGCTGGTTTAAGAAGAAATTTTTAAATTCTTTTAATCAGTTTGTGACTTCTTAACTTTCGGGCCAAATTTATATATATTTTTAACTGTTTTTAATATTTGTATTCTATGTTCTTATCTTGGCTGTACACCGCCCTGAGTCCTCAGGGAGAAGGGCGGTATATAAATTGGAAATTAAATTAAATTAAATTAAAGTGAATCACTGCAGTTTGTTAAAGTTAGCAACATGGTTGTTAAATGAATCTGGCTTCCCCATTGACTTTGCTTGTCAGAAAGTCTCAAAAAAAAGGTGATCACATGACCCCTGGGACACTGCAAGAGTCATAAAAATGAGCCAGTTGCCAAGCAGCTGAATTTTGATCACATGGACCATGGGGGATGCTGTACTGGTCGTTAAGTGTGAAAAACAGTCATACGTCACTTTTTTCAGTGTAACTTCAAACGGTCACTAAAATGAACTGTTTTAAAATTGAAAACTACCTCAGTACGAAATACAGAGGTAGTCCACTAAATTGTTTAGTGACTGTTCTAAGTTACACTGAAAAAAAGTGATTTATGACTGTTTTTCGCACTTAACGACCATTACAGCATCTCCATGTGATCAAAATAATAATAATGATAATAATAATAATAATAATTTTATTTCTATACCGCCCTTCTCCCGAAGGACTCAGGGCAGTATACAGCCTATACAGGCTCTATATCCATTAAGCCTGGGGCTGGGAGGAATCATATTTTGCTGCCCTTACATCTGTGCAAGCCAGAATTCTTCAAAAGCAGCCGATTTCTTGAAAGAAACCGAGATCTCCGCTAAAGCTACATTATTGTAATTTGTACTCTTCCCAGGGAAGCATTCAAAGCAAGACGCAACTCCCGCCTCCCACTACTGGCTTGTAAATAGCAGCAGAGCAGCCGAAGCGAGGCTACAATGGAAGCTTGAGAGTCACGAGGTTTGTTTCTCCAATCCTCCATCAGTTTCCGCCTTGAAAAGCTCGGGCCCCGCCGCCGGCGAAGCAAGCCTGCCTGTGGCGAAGGAAGAGGTCAGAGGAAAGGGAAAGGCGGCCGGGGCCTACCTCCGCAGCGACATCTTCCGCTGAAGACTCTCGTCCGCCCCGCTCGGAGCGGCTCCCGTCTAGCTCGCCATGCTCGGCGCCGCGCTTGCCTAGCAGCCTAGAATGGCGCGACGCGGCTCGTTGAGAGCGCGAGACACCGCCCCCTAGCGACCGCGCGGAAAAGAAGCACTGGGGGGAAAAAAAAAGAAGCCCCGCCCTTTGGAGGCCGCTGCGCGAGTTTTAGGGTTTCTTAGGCCGGGCTCAGGTGTTTGGAAGTGGGAACGGATGGGGGGAATCGTTCCTGGCAGACCCGGGTAGGGAAAAAGTGATGGAGGAGGAGGAGGTTCCTCTTTCCTTGTGGAGGAATCATGCGTGCAAAAGTGGTGCTTTTGGCCGTAGGCAGAGAAGACTGCAATGAGTAGGAATGGTACTGAGACCAGGGAAAATAGGTCAATCAAGCTGAATTCTGGATGAATATACAGTAGTGGCCAGAATTGTGGGAGCCTTTTTTGGGAAAAGTGTATTTTCTAAAACTAGAAAATACTAGCTAATAACATAAAATTATATATCAATGGAAAGATAATTTAATCAAGAATGTAATGCAATAACTTTTATGAAGGATTTGCTGTTAGAATAGCAGTTACAGTATAAAGAAGAAAAGTGAAACACGTAGAAAAACCGAGATATACAAAATTTATCAGGTCGGTTAACCGACCTTAAATTTATCAGTTGTGTAACCTTTAGCATGAATTAGGGCCTTACAAGGTCTTCCCATGGAGTGAACCAAGTCTTTTAATTCTGCAGCTGTTATAATGTGAAACCAAGATTGAATGATTGCTTCTATTAACTGGGTCGCTTCTGACTAACAAGTTTCTTTAGTTGGCTCCATAGATTTTCAATTGGGTTAAGATCTGGGCTATTCCCAGCCCATTCCAGCAGTGGAATATGATTATCTTGAAACTAAAAAAAAAAGTGGTGGTGTTATTAGCCATCAAACCTCAAAAGTACACTTTTCCCAAGGGGTTTCCACAATTTTGGCCACTACTGTATGGGCAGAGTGGTTTTGTGCCAAAAATACAGAAGGGATTTTCTGTGCCCCCCCCCTCTTTAAACTTCCCAGTCTAGTTTAACAGCCCTGGAATTTTTGGGTGCTATCCATCTGTCTATCAGATGCTTCCAACATCAGGCGAAGGTGGTAGAGGGCCACCATGTAAAAAAAACTATATCTTTGAAAGCTTGTGCAAAGAATCTCCTGGGATATGCCTGGCTCTCATTGGGAACCATGATGCAAGAAGGGAAGCGAAGGAGAAGAGTAGACCTTTGACTCTGATCAGCCCAAGTCAGGATGTCTTCTCCAGATGTTTTGGTGCCTGGCTTTTGGGAAACATCTGGCTGGCCTGATCTAGTCGGTGTCCACAAGGTTGCAAAAAAAGTCAAGACTATGAAAGTTTCATGAGCTATCAAGAGATTCAACCTAGAAATAAGGAGAAACTTCCTTAACAGCGAAAGAGAAGTTGCTTTCAGAAGTTGTGGGAGCTTCACCACTTGAAGCTTTCAAGAAACAACTGGACTGCTATCTCTTAAAAACAGTGTACAGTCTCCTGCTTGGGCGGGAGCGTTGGACTAGATGACCTACAAGGTCCCTTCCAACTCTGTTAATCTGGTATATTGCTCCCTGTTTATACACAGTAGCTTGCCCTGCCAGTGTTGGTGGGTATGATGTATTGTTGCCAGAAAACCAGTATGTCTATATCCATGAAGTCAGTAATCAAGTTAAACAGGAAGAATAACAGGTGGAAGGGACCTTGGAGGTCTTCTAGTCTAACCTGCTGCTCAAGCAAGAGACCACACCACCACCATTACCACCATCATCATTAATGTTTCAGAATGGTCTAATACCAGAAATGGTTCAGGAGCAACATGTGAACATGTGAAATAATGTAATTCACCAATTGATGAACCATTACATCCAAGAATGTAAATTTTTTTTGTATAATTGCAGAATAAGTATTTCCAGACTCAGAATAAGTAATTCCAGACCTATAAAGCAGTGGTGAAATCTGAACCGGATTACTACTGGTTCGCTGGCCGCGCATGCCCAGTGCGCACCACGCACCAAATGCAGGATGCACATGCGCAGTGCACGCCAAAAGGAGGCATGCGGTAAGTAGAATAGTGCAACCTCTTCGGCCAAAGAGGTTGTAAAAAAAATGCTTTTAAAAGGCTCTGACGATCCCAGCTGAGCCACGCGATCATCAGAGGCTTTTTTTTTACTTTTAAAAGTATTTTTTCGGCTGAAGAGGTTGTAGAAAAAATGCTTTTAAAAGTAAAAAAAAAAGCTGATGATCACGCGGCTCAGCTGGGCGGGGGGGGGGAGCAGTTCTCTGAACCACCCACCGACATCACTACCGGATCAGGCGATTCAATCCAAACCAGGAACATTTCACCCCTGCTATAAAGTAATATTGGTTGCTGATTTGGTTCTTGGTGCAATTCAAGGTGCTGGTTGTCACCTTTAAAGCCCTTCATGGCTTGGGGCCGGTCATGTCTACCTGACCCATCAGAGCGGGGAGGCAGGGAATGTTGCGGGTCCCATTTCCCACTGGAGATACACCTGGTGGGACCCCAAAAAAGGGCCTTCTCTGTGGTGGCTTTCTCTCTCTGGAACATCATTCCCCCAGAGATTAGAATGGCCCCCACTCTAATATTCTTCCGGAAGGCGCTGAAGACCTGGTTCTGCCAGAGGGCCTAGGGAACCTAGAGTGGGATGGAGCCCATTAAATGGCTTGTGTGATCTGCTGTTGCCGGGATGGGGTGGGTGGGGGGTGGGAGTGATTTTGTTATATTGTATTATATTAATTTATTTGATTCTTTTGGTTAGTTTTTATTCTTTTAAATGTGGTTTCATATTCTGTAAGCCGCCTTGAGTTGCCATGGGCGAATAGGCGGCAATATTAAATAAACAAACAAATAAATATGACTTGGTTCCATCTTGTCTCTTAATTTTAAGTAGCAAATCAGAGAAAACTGGTGTAAAATGTGTTTCTGTGGTCAAAAAGATGCTTTAAGCCTTTAATCTTTCCCACTGCTTGAAGTTCTTATACATTCTAAATTTTATTCTGCTGGCCCTATTTAGTAAAATGTTTCAGATTCATGCTGCAATAAGCTTCTTTAAATGGATAGTGACATAATAAATCTATCGCACCCCATCCCATCCAAAGGGAAGCAAAATTGGTATGTTTTCTTTGCAGGGGAATATTAAAGTATCTGATATTTTTAACTTTGTTAAAAAGCATTTATGAGGGGTTAGGGTTAGGAAAATAAACTATTTTGGCACAAAAGCACAAAATAATTGACTTATTTAAGAGTATAATTTAATAGCCATTTAAATATATGCTGTATTAAGATTTTCAACAGTTACAAAATATTTACACAAGATATTATAGATTGCCCTGGAAAGTTAACATCTTTAAAGATCATTGTACGTAGTCCTTCTACAAGTACAAAATTCTGTTCTTTTTATAAGCACCAGATATGTCTGTCCCATCCATTTCATGTTACAGACAGAAATATTTTCAAAACAAGATTTTCACATAAATTAATGTTTTCAGTTATCATGAACTATGTGATCAAATATTTTTAAGACACAATTTTACAATGAAGAGTTCCTTTGATGTAACCAGCACATACAGCCTAAAAAAAAAAAAGTAAAGAAAAAATAACACTTTATGTTATATATGGAGCGCCAGGCCACACAAACAGGAAACACAAAAGAGGTAGTGGATCATCTGTGAAGATGTTTGTGTCCGAAAAGGACCATCATTCAACTAAAGTGTTTAAGGGATTTTATGGCGGCGTAACTCATTGTCAGTATAACATAAGCTATTGCACATTTGGGAGCATAAGTCATACTCCTCCTTTTTACTGCATTCTTCCATCTTTCTTTAAGGTGTCCTGGACAGTGCTGATAATAAAATCAAGAAGAATTTCCATATATGTATATTCTTTGGTTCAGAGAATATCATAAAAAAGCACCAACCAAAAATTAAATATTTTATCAATGTTGTCAAAAGTTTCTTTTTGAAGCCATTTCTCCTTCATAGGAGGAAGTCTTTTTCTTCCTGAGATTCTTCAAGAAATCACCAGCATGTTGCTGTACAATTGTTCCACAGTTTTGTAATTATTTCTTGTGTCCTGTATATGGCAATATGAGGTTTACTCAAAATTCTAGAGAAAGCACACCAAGCCACTTTCTATGTATCGTTGTTGTCCCTGATTGAGATGAGAAAATGGATGAAGTTGAACAACCGGTAGTTGATTGGTGTCTTGAGCGTGGAAAAAAAATTGGGTTTTATGCCAGTTGCCATCTTGAATCTGCAAGAAAAGAAAACTTAAAATCAAATAAGATTTTAATTCTGCATTATAGGGAATGCAGGGAATGCATTTTCTTTACAGGGAAAATCAAGAAAGAAGCAATAGTTATTACCAAGGATATGCAGATGTTCTGTGCGTAATTATGTGCATAAACTATTTTGGAAAGGGTGTTTTAACAAAATACCTATTTTAGATGTTTTGATCTGATCTGAAAATAAGTTTTCATTTGGTTACAAACTAAAATGTTGTTGTTCCAGGCAGAAATTGATGGGGGAAAAGAATTTGACAAAGCCAAAGGCATAAGCAGAGGCCGAGGGGAGGCAGGGAAGTGCATGGTATGGGAAAGCTAGAATACTCTGTTTAAGGACATCAGCAGCAATCATAGCTGAAGGAAAAGAGGGAAGTGAAGACAGCAGGCAAAATAGGACTGGAGGGATATGGAGATGCTGAAGGGAGAGAATGACTCACTTGCCTTTCCTGATTCATCACACAGGAATTGCTCGGAATATTGTTTCATGTGAAATGTAACACAACCAAAATCTGGATTTTGATTCTGCTGACCTGAAATGGCTCATTATACTTTTTCCACTGTTGTGGAAAATATGGGGAAACACCAAGAAATGTGAATTTTAAAAAAAATACAATATAGTGAGCAACATTTTGATGGTTGATGAGTCCCCCACTTAAAATTTGAGGGGGAAGATAAGGCCCATAGCATAGTGATACAATGAGAATGAGGTCACACTGCAGGTGTGACTTGACTTACAATCACAATTGAGCCCAAAATT